ATAGCAACAAAAATAAAAAAAAATCAAATCAAAAGACAAAAGAAAAATAAGCACTAGTAAGAACATAACGGATTTGCATGATTCGGTCATACTACCTATATTTATTGGAAAGATGAAAACCATTCTTTACTATAAAAGAAAAAATGAGAAACAATACACAATACCTTGTCCCTTGCAAGTCACATCAACCCTTAACCCTTGTATACTTGTTCTCCATTTCCACTTTTAATCCAAAGAACAAAATAAGAGAAAAAAACCCCATTCTTACATCAAGAGCATTCTTAATTCTTTTCTCAACCTCTCTTTATTTTCTCTCTAACAAGAAAAAGAGTAAACATTCTTCTTAAAACCTACATACAAAATAACCCTTTATACATAAAACCCACCTTAACATAAATAAGGGACTACACCAACCATTAGATTACAACCTAATTTGATGATTAAAACCTTATAAAGTCATGGAAATCGTCCTTTTTTCAAGTTTGATTGTAACTAGAATGTTGTACATGTTGATATGAATAATGTGTAAATTTTCTATCAACTAGTTCAATTTCTATTGGGTATTCACTCCCACTATAATAGAGCTAATCATTCTCATTTTTGGAACAAAACTCCAAGATTTTCTCAAGAGCTTAAGTGAGAAATTGAGTAAAACTTGTAGAAAATGGAAAAGAGGATTCACAGTATTGTTAGAGATTGTAGGTCTCTTTGTGGAAGTCCATGTTGACCCTGTGTTTTGGTGATTACAAACTCATTGATAGTACTAATAAAATGATGTTAGTTGTTTAATTGTGTCAATTGATTCCTATTGTGATAAAATGATTAACAATTCATTATGAAGAATCAAACTAGGATGAAATGCATTTGGGCAACTGTCTATTAACTAGTAACTCTCTAGGGAAGATAAATGCTACAAAGAGCTAGAAAAAAAAAAAGCATCAATCTTCAGTATTTTATTGTATCTTATTTCTTAGGAGTTTATGTAATCATTTGTAAAATCAAATCAAATCATTAGGAATTGACCTAACTTAGTTAACCGAACCTTAGAGACCAATGGCTAAAATCAAATTTGGTTCTTAGGTGTTTTTGGACTCTTTTGTGGTGCTTAAAAAAAAAAAAAAAAAAAAAAAAAAAAAAAAAGCACCTAAGCTTGGAAACCTAGTTGATTTCCAAACCTTGGGAGACATAAACTCAGAGTTTCTAAGGTTAATAGATATCAGTAATCGATTGCCCTTAAAGCAATAGTCAACTACTCGTGACAGTAGAGACTAGTGTCACCCAATAATTATAGGTATAGTCAACTACCTATAACAACTAAAGATAGTTTCACTCTGACATCTACTCGATAGTCAACTACCAATAAGCTATAGTTGACTATGTCTCATAGCTGAGACTAGGTATCTACTAGTAATCAACTATCAAGAGGAAATCGTCAACTACTACATAAGAGAACTACTACTTAATGAAGAAATCTAATTGTTTGAAGGCTTAATGGCTCTTTCCTCTTCTAGTAAGCATTCAATTTTGATGGGAACTTGCTCTGAACATTTCTAACTTTGGTTTGATACATTCCTAACAGACTTATAATGGTTATTTGTCTTAAGCATTATAAATTAGTATTTTTGAATTGAAAATCATAATAGCTTACATGTAAAAGTTACCAAGTGAAAAGAGAACATTTTTAAGCAAAAGCTTTTAGAAAAGAAGAGATTTCTAAACTTAATCGGTTCATACAAATGAGAAAAGCTTGTGCAACCTTTAGGTTTATTTGTTTCTCATTGAAATTTCTTAAATCTCTTCAAGTGATTGAGCCTATAGCATCGGAGCATATTCTTGCATTTTTGTAGTTTGCATATCAGTTTTATCAAGCTAAGAGGCATTTTGTATTATTTGTATTTTTAATTGTTTATTATCTTGTTTAATAGGGTGTTCAAACTCGAATAGCTTCACAGGTCTAGTTGGCACCCAGAAACCCAATTGTTCAAATTTGGTTAACACCCAAAGCTCAATCATTCAAGTCTTATTGGCATTTTTAAGTGCAATGGGTTCTAATCTTGTTGACACCCGTAAATCCAATTACATAAGGTCTTATTAGCACCCAAAGGTCCAACTATTTTAAGATTTTTCTAACACCCAAAATTTCAGTTGATTTTTTGAAAATTCTCAAAAGGTTGCTTAAGGAGAGAACGTAAGCCAAAGTTTGATTGAACCTCTATAAATCCTTATGTGTTTTACTTTAATGCAATTGATTTACTTTATTTATTTACTTGTTAATTGCATTTCATACACTGCCTTCCATTTCATCAGTATTGCACTCAAAGTTTTATAAGACTTTAATTGGGGAGAAATCCTTTAGAACCCAATTCACTCCCCTCGATTAGGCTAACTAGGCAAGTCAGAGATTATCTAAATGAGAACATGTATTTAAAAAGAGGATGTTCACAAAGAATCAACTTATAATCTAGATAATAGTAGTATCAGTGTAATCTCACATTCTCCATTCTTTGTTTAAATAGGCAGTACTCGTAACTCTTTCTTGGTAAGACATCAAGGCCCAAGGTAGTTTAGATGTGAGAGGTGGACTTTTACTCCCTTAAATTAGCAACCAAAACTCTCTCTCTCTCTCTCTAATTACAATTTTGATCAATCTAATTCTGAAAAGTAAAGAAGCTTATGAATGACTATCTAGTAGTTGGATTCAACAATCATAATTTCATAACCCACTTGCTAAAGCAATCCCACTCACATAGAGGCATAGCAAACGGTTTCTGCCTACATGTCAGTCCTACAAACGCAAAACCACCTCATTAAACTACCAGTAACCAACTTCCCCCAATCAAACTTGGCACCTACTCTTACTCTATGGGCATCCACACAGACAACCAAGGAAGAAACTATGGGAGTGCCTCACAAATTTACAAACAAGCTCCACGGTCCATTGGTGTAAGCCAAATCTCATAACATGAGGCACACCATACCTTAGAACAAATTTTGCCTTCCAAAACTCAAATGGGGACTAGGGTTCAGGCACAGTAGAATGATGAATAAGGCAATGTTTAGCAAGCAAATTTGGAGACTGATGTCACAGGAGAACAGTCTATGGTGCAAAATAATCAAAGAGAAGTATTTCTCAAAGACTAGTCTTCTAAATGCAAAGAGAGGCAGCAACAGTTCCAAATGGTGGAAGCAAGCTTTTAATCTGCTTCCACATTTCAAACCAAATATTCTATGACCAATAAAAGATGGAACCTCCATCTCAGCCCTAGAAAACCACAGGATTCCCACTCTAGCTGGCGGAATTCCACCACAAAACTTAAGCAATTCTTCCATCAATCACAAGCCCAAGGTGGCAGAACTAATGGACAATAGAGGCGAATGGGATATCCAAAAGCTACAACAGCTCTTTAATGAAAACATCATAAGCCACATAAGATAAATAAACCCACCCACAATCAGATCTTGAAAGAGATCAAATCATATGGAAGAAAGCAAACTTAGGCTTGTTTTCAGTCATCATATAGACAACTTCAAGCTATTACACCCTCGTCCTCAGGCCAACACTTCTGGTGGAAGCTTTTGTGGAATCTAAAAATCCCATACAGATGCCAAGTATTTATATGGAAAGCTTTATGGGAAGGCATTCTAACAAAGATAAATGTGCTAAATGGCTTCAACGGGAGGAACTATTCTGTAGCTTTCAGAGCCTGTATCAGGATTAAATGAGCCATCAATGATGTGCATGTGGTTGCGGTGATACTGTTTTTTATGCTTCCAGCATATATTCTTGAGATTTATTAATGATTTATGAGGGTTGGAGAGTCTGATTTTCAAATTAAATATGCTGTTATACAGAATTTACTAAAGTAGCAGGAAACTTCCTGCTTGCTAAGCTGAGATTGGAGCAGACTTAGCCAGTTCTCGATGATTAAATTGAATGGCTTTTGCTCCTCACTGAAGGAGTAATTCCAATCCGTGCTTCACACCATATTGCCTGAGCAATATGGGCATGTGAAAAGTAGGTGCTGTATGGATTCTGTTTCCTGTCCACGTCTGCAGGATGCTCTTTCGTCATCCAACACCCCAGGAATGTCTCCACACAAGATGAACTGAGAGCCCTAGCAATTGGAGTTGAAGCAGCTTCACAACTTTCTGCTAGGACTATAATAATCTACTCAGACTGCCTAAAGCTAGTTCAGCATTTTACTTCTTCTAACAGTAAGCCAGCAATATGGATCGAAAAGCTCCACTGGTAAAGCATCTGCAACCGACTCCAGTTATTTAGAAATTATCATTTTGAACATGTAAATAGACAACAAAACAAGCTGTCACACCTTTTGCTTATTTTGCATGTAAAGGTCAACTCATTTTCTCATATAACTCAGCCTCTCAAAAGCATGTACCCATCAGTTATTATCAATGAAGCTGCTTCTTCACTTTGAAAAAAATAACAAACAGTTTCTTCCTTGATATTACTTATTAGTGGTCACAGTCAAATGAAATACAAAGAAAGCAATTGTCGATTCTGCAGCATTTCTGAAAAACTTGTGCAAATGCTGCTACCCCTTGGTTGCTCTGGGCAGGCTAATCATTATCATGTCTAATGGGGTTTGTCTCCATCTGAATCACACAGGTCACAACTCTGACCTGAAAACTCCTCTTTGGGGATTGGAGGTGAAGAAATTTACTAAAAGAAACATAAAGAGTCGTAAGTGTGGTACAATGAAATGTTCAGTATAAAAATGTAGATAGTTCCTACCAAGCCAGATAACCCATAAGAGGAAAAGGATTCGCATTTCACTAGGCTGGTGGTGGTGGAGGATGTCATAGGAGGGTAGGATAGTTATGGTGGGGAATTGACCAACAATCTTATAATGTAATGCAGTTCTGATAAAGCATGTATTATTTGAAATTTATGGACGTGATGACCACTGGCCACAACCAACATTCTAACAGGCACAAGAATGTTGTTACGGCAGTCAAATGTTAAATGAGACAAGGTCTGGAAATAAAGCCTCTTCAGAGATACTGAAGACCACTAGTAGATAAAGCATTTGAACAGATACAATTGGTCCAACATGTAATGAAATGCTTGAAATTGAAACCAGACTAAATGTAACTCGGGCAGCTTGGGGAAGATCAGAAATTTAGATTCGCATCCGTTTGACATCATTCTCTGGGACACTTGCATCATTACCATTTCCTTTGACTGGAACATTTGATTGGCCATGGCCCTGCAGAGAGAGAATTTAATGTAACTCACACCCGCCTAAAGGATCTACTTGTCAATGAACATTATAATACCCCAAAAAAAATTGATGTGAGGTATTGAATTGATACTAAAATAGATGACTGAAACAAATTTCTGTAACTTCCAATTGTTTTTAAAGGAAAAAAAAAAAAAAAAAGAAACATCTCACCATGGAGAAGTATGACCTAAAGTAAAATTTCACCATTGCAAGGATTGAACCTAGAAGTGATGATTTCAAGCCCAGCCTGGAATAAAAGGGAAGCCCGATGCATGAGGCTCCTGCCAATTTGTTGTCTAGGGAGGTAGGGACGGGCAGATCTAGTCAACTCACATATGAGTTCATAGCTTATTTTCCATGATTGTCTATTGTTAAATAGATGAATGCAAAGCCTCCATTCTTATATTATTCAATTAGCAGGGACTTGTGCGATGCATGGGCTTTGTTAAACGCAAGCTAAACAATAAAAAACACACGAGTATACAATTTTTTACATTTTAACTTTTTAAAATAATTAATAATTATTTATGTTTTATGTATTACTTTTAATGATTTTTTTACATTACTTAATTTTCAGCTAGGGTTGTTCATCAAACCGATGAAACCGACCAACCCAACCCAATTTGACCCGAGTTGGTCAATTTCTAGTCTTTCTGATCAGCTTTGGTTCAACAATTTCCCAACCCGACCAGGTTGGATTAGTTTCGGTTTGGACATTTGTAAACCGACCAAAACCAAACTAACTTGACCATATATATATATAGATAGATAGATAGATAGATAGATAGATAGATAGATAGATATATTAATATTTTATGTTTAAATATATTTTTTAATAGGGAAAGTGGAAAATTTCCCATATTCCTTAGTCTAAAATATTTTATATCATAAATTTAATTTTTTTAATTTATATTTTTAATAATACCACTATAATTTTTAAAATTTAAATTTAATTTTTAAGTTAAATCTTTTGAACCGACCGATCAAACTAAAAATCAACCCAAACCAATAAAACTCGAGTTGGTTGGTCTTCAAGTGACTAACTCCCCACCCTGACTAGGTCAATTTGGTTGGCCAAGTAGCCTGCAACCGAACCGGACCAACCCGTGAACACTCCTAATTTTAGCTAAATTAATAGTACAATCTCTATAAATAACAATAGTTTAATCTTCAATAATTATTGAAAATTAATAGCAAAAATACACAATTATTGAAAATAAATTTATAATGAAAATACAATAATTACAATAATCACAAAAATATAATAAATACTAAAAATATATTAAATTAGCCAATAAATAGTGTAATCTCAAAATATTGTTTCATCTCTAATAAATATTGATCAATAAATTATAACAAAAATACATAATAACTAAAAATAAATTTATAACAAAAATACAATAAGTACTATAAATTAAATTTAAAAAGTTAAATAGCAGTAGTTTAATCTCCAATAATTATTGAAAATATATTTTATCACAAAAACAATAAATAATTGCTGAAAATACAAAAAAAAATATTAATTTTAGTATACATAAATATATAATATTTATAGATTAAGGTTTTAAAATTATTATTAATAAATATTAATTTTTTTAAGTTATTTTCAAGAATTATTAATTGATATAAGTGAAATTACTTTACAGTATTATTTAGTTATTTAAATAATATAATTATTTAAAATTTTAAAATATTAATTAATTATTGAATTTAATAATCCATTAAATTATAATTTATACTATTATTACATAATTTCGTTATTAATTTTGTAAAATATTAAATTATTATTAATTTGAATGTTATGAATGTTAGGCTGTCAGCATTTTGGTTGAAATTAATTCTAACATTCAAGGTCCCACATTGACTAATCATGAAAATGAAGGCTTTGTATTCATCTACTTAACAACAGATAACCATACGAAAAAAAATAAAGATAACCATGCTAGATGGGCAACTATATTGTTTTATGTCATAGGCCCAAAGTCTGGCTTGGGCCCATGCAATATTTTTATACATGTGTAATATCGTACTTATATAATATAAAATGCTATAAATATTTAAATTTTTATTATTTAATGGCATAGGCCCAAAGCCCAAGCTTATATTTTAGGCCCAGGGCATGGGCCCGGGCATGGGCTATATCCCTTATCATAGTTCTAAGCGCAGCCTGGCCCATGATCACCCCTCAACCTAGATCAAAATGTGACAGGTAGGAATACTCACCACTATACTACAACGATCTGCTGTTTCATCTGGAACAAGTGCATATCTTTCTGATGGTGAAACCCACATCTTCCCTGCTCATACAGAATGTAGAGTAACTCCAACATGGCCTAAGAACATGGTAAGAGAACTGCTTCATCTGTTGGACAGGGAATGGAATGTATAAAATACCTGATAATGGCTCAACCTTTGATGATGGTAACTGTTGGCAACTAAATCCATCAACACTCAAGGCCTCTATGATCTTCGGGGTATTTCTACAGTCCTCAAAAATAAGGATATCAGGTGAAGCTGTTTATGTGAAAAAAATGAAACCTTCCAATGGGTGATTAGTCAGCCAATGGTATTTGTGTTTTAGTTCTCAAATAACAAGGGCATTTTGAACTTATAACTCAACCACCTAACAGTGGTTCCTATATGTTCTATCTAAATAACATCCTAAAAAAGTGGCTTTGTAAATTTCCTATTGATCATTTCAGAATTCAGATGATTCTATAGCAAGCAATTTTGATATACATTTATATGCTGCATGGTATTTGAAATTCCACAAGAGGATATTACATACATGAGGAAGAACCAATAAGAATACCTGGACCATAATAGTCAAACAGATCAAGATAGATGTAACCTAAGAAGTGCTTGTAACTTCTGTTTACTGTATTAAGTATGAATGAAATCTCCTACTAAACAGATAAGGAATGTTTTGGTACAGATTGAAAATATTGATTTGATATCTGCAACAAACATATGTCAACCTAAGAATCCGTATTCACCCAGTGATCCACTGAAGGAACTGAAGCCATTGCATACTAAAGCTACTGATTTTAGATGCCAGAAGAACCAAGATATGACAAAAAATACTTTTGAAATACATGATATGAGAAGGTTATGAAGAGGTTCTCTAACTCATTATATGACACTTATAAAACAGAAAAACATGCAGTATAAATTCACAGCCATGTGATAAGCTTCATATAAATGGTATAATTGTCTCTGTGTAGACACCATACTGTCAGTTGCCAAATGTAGATGATGGTTGTATCTCAATTGAACCTCATTAGTCCTTGCTGAGGCAACATAGGACCAAATTCTTGCACAGGTTTAGGTAGGCAGTAGCCATAGCTCAACAGTATATCATGCCTGTTTAAGATACTTTTCTTGATCCAAAGAGGTATGGACTCTGTTATGGGAGTATAATCTCTTCCCAGCAATCTTCATTGGTTACTTTTACCTGTACTTTTCTTAAAGGGATGTTGAAGAGAGGATTATTGGGCAGTTAAGTCTGCGTTTGTTAAGCATGCAAATGCACAACTGAAGCGAATCTGCACTGTGGTTTAGTTTGCCAGGTGTTCGTTGAGAATACATTTTTGTACTGAATGAAAGAATTTGTTTTGTCACCATTTTTTCACTCAAAATGGGAGATAAGTTTGCTTCCAAAAAAATGGAAGCAAAGATTACACAAAGTTGGTAAATGTAAAATAGCTTGGTCCCAGCCTCAAGACTCATGCTTGCATCTATCACAACCAAAGAAGGCATTATAATTTCTCAGTGCTGAACTGATCTGGGCTTGCATCCTTCAATTTGAACAAATTTGCATTCACATAAGTGCATTCACCTTTTGCACTCTTTCCAGATGCAGCCTATGCAAAAAGTATAATGCAACCTCCTTGTAGCATCTAGGCTATACCCTCCACTATTGTGGTTTACATGACTCTGAGCAGTGTCTTGATCCATTGGATCATGGTTCTCCTTTTACTTCTGTATATGGATCGGACTTCCAAAATAATTGATATAAATATAATTGCTTGTAGCAGTTAGGTATCGCCAAAAGTAGAAAAATATGAACTACAGGAATTAGAAGTAATTGCAACTTAACAGAATGAATCAGATGAATCTACAGATCACATGATAAATATACATCATAACCTCTGATAGTTTACATAATCTCAAGATGCATCTGATTATCTGGTTTGAACATTAGAATGTTTGAGCATTTCTAAGTAGTATCCTTTTTAAGAAGTAATTGATCATTACTAGAACTAAAAGAATAATACTATCAGATTGAAATAGATGTAAAGGTGCAACGGTGACTTGAAAGAGGGAGAAGGATGAATGTAAAAAAGATGTCTATCAAGGAACCCCTGACTTTTTGCTATAGCTAAAGAAATAGAAGGGTGAAAACAATATAAATTTTAGCAAATCACTTTCTGGCACAATTAGAGTAAGGGGTTGCTACAGTAGGACAGGTTTCCCTTCAGCTTTTCTAGCATTTGTACAGAGATCAATTTCTGCAAGAACAGCAAAGGGGGGGGGGGCGGCATTGGAGTGAAGACACTACCTTTTCTGGTAAGAATGGAATTGTATTACTCTATAAGAAAACGAGGCAAAGCCCTAGAGAAAAGATCACCTAATCAGAGTACTTCACAGATGCCACCATGTGGAAAAGAGGGCAAATTGAGTAAATGTTATATGCTAATCAATCCAAATTTTAGGGCTTAGCAAATAGAACCTAACAGCTAACCAATAACCAGCAAAGAAAGCAAGAGGAGAAATTAGAGAATAACCTAGAATCACTCTAGGATTTCTAGGAGTCACACTTATGCCTCTAAACATCACAAATTATAAGACAAATATTACATGACAAGAAAGACAAAAACCTGCAGCCAAACCCCAACATGAGATTAATGGAAAAGATAGATACCCTTTTGTCCAAAATACAAGAAAAATAGAAATAAAATGAAATTTAGCTGAGGGGTCCCTACACTTGCTTACTTGCTTAAACAAAAAACATACATGAGCAGTAGGTTCAAGAGAACATTCTCAACTACAAAAATTATAGATATTAAAACCAGTGTTTTAAAAGGCGTGGGAGGCATATGCCTGGAAGCGCGGCACTCCCAAAACGCCCTGAGGTGTATGCCCAAGGCGCTGACACCTCTGAGGCGTACGCCTCTTGCGCTTTTTTCATGAGGCGTGCTATAGGCATACGCCTCATGCGCCTCATGCACATCTGATATAAAAAGACAGAAAAAAAAAAAAGAAAAAAGAAAAAAACGGAAAGGAAAGGAAAGGAAAAGAAAGGGAAGGGAAAGAAAAAGAAAGAGAAGAGAAAAAGAGAAAAGGAAAGGAAGGGAAGGGAAGAAAAGATAAGGGGAAAGAAAGTGGTTTACCCCTGCCCCTTCGGCTGGGGGGCTTCGCCCCTCAGACCCCCGCCCCCTTTTCGATGCAGCCCAATTTTTTTTTTTTTTTTTTTTTTTGAGTTAGGGGGGTCTTACTCCACTTCGACAATACCCCCCTTTCAACTAATGTTAATGCATCTTTATTCTTCTTAATATAAAATATTTTTCTTAAAAATAAGGAAAAAATGAGATTCCCCCTTCCTCTCCATCCTCCTCCTAACCCCCCTCCTCTTAAGGAGGCTTACGCCTCCTTGTGTTCAGGAGGCTTATGTCTCTTGCGTTCTGAACTATGCCTCACACCTCTAGGTAGTGGAATGCCTCGCGTCACGCCTCCGTGTTTTAAAACATTGATTAAAACATAGGCAATGGATACATCACATGCCATCACAACTGACCCACAAGAAAGATGTGAAAAAGAACCATCTAAATGCCACATTACATAACAAAGAATACGATTCAGGTGCAAATATTGATGACAATGATATGATTTACCAATATCACTAACTCAACAAAGAACATGTCCATTAGATGTTATGCTCAAGCAATCTAGCAACAAAACTACTAAATGGTATTATTGGATATATGGCAACTTGCAGTCCCTCCTTCCATTCTAAGATCCAATGACTTTTAGATACCACAAGTCCAGTAGTTCTTTATTTAGAATTTTTAAACTGAGCTTATTCATTACATAAGTTATTGTACAAAAAAAGGCATGACGTAGACAGGAGATTTGAAATCTAGTCAACATTGACCCAAGTCACCCAACACATAACTAGGCTTCATGCAGTAATGGCATGCATTCGATTCTTAACATCCTGCAGGATAATGAGTGGGCTTTTCAGCCAGCTTGTTCATGATTTGACAAAATCTTTACAAAACATTCATTGAGATAAAAAAATAGCATGTTTTTTGGGCAATTAAAGTCCTGATTAAAACAATATTATAATTATATATGTGGAAAACTGTTTGAATTAGTAAGAAATTTGAAAAAAGGAATAATTTTCTTTCACTTAAGAAAGGCCCATAAGAAAACACTCTCTATCACTACAAAATTTCACGTTCAAGTGGCTAAGATCAAAAACTTGAAACTGCTCATCATTGTGGAAGAAAAGAAGATCCCTAATGGTGAATTACCACAGACAGTTTTTATAAAAGTAGACTCTCAACATGTTTTAAAGCAATTTCACCAATAATGAAGGCATTTTACAGGCTATTTCATATATTGTTGTAAACCATAATTGCAATGCCTCAGTAAATATGCAGAGTTAGAAAAGAGCTATGGCTCTCAACTTGAAGTTTTGTTAATAAATAGGAAACAGAAGAATAATAGTAACTTAGATATGCATAAAGCCAATCCTGTTAATTTTGTATGTAAGGACCATGTCTATAAAAAAATTATTTTGCAACAGAATGCTATAAAAGGAATAGAAAATAAATTAATACTTGCACTGACCAGCAATTTTGCATTCATAAACAGTAACATAGGTTTGGCTTGAAATGCCAGTAACATATATGGTCATGCAGTAATCTCACAGAAGAGACCACAGATATGTGTTTGCAGAAACAGACAATCAACTGATGACTCAATATCTTAAACATTTTGAGAAATGCAATTACCGGTCAAGAGGATCTCCATGTCCAAGTTGTCCATTTGTACCCCTTCCCCAAGAGAAAAGGTTCTGTCTCTTTGTAACAGCTAGTGTGTGCCTCCATCCACAAGAGATCTGCACTACTTTCTGAAAGAAATCCCAACGAAAACTGTAAAAAACTGAATAAGGAGCACAAGGCCATACTTTACATAGAATGCAGCCCTCTAAAATGAGAGGTCAATGGAGAATCTCGTGGAGCTCTGTATTCTAGCACAAAAGCCTACTTTAACCAGTTTAGGCTTTTATGGAGCCAGAAAAATGAAAAAGTACCTGATCATCTGGGAATTTAACTTGCACTGGAGAGCAGTGGTCAACATTATCACCAACACCAACCTGCCCAAACTGTTTGAAAAAAGACAATTAAAATGTTGAAAGCAAATAACCAGAGTCTATAAGGGGGGAAAGGCATAGTCAGCAAAAGAAATAGGTAAAACGATTGTAATAGAATTATGTCAACTTTCCCATAAAGAAAAGCTTTCATCAAATCCTAAGCAACATTATTTTGAGAGTAAGGTAACAGTACTGAATTTATAATAAAAGCAAGATGTGCACATGAGAAGATTTACAATTTGCAGAAAATCTATTAACAGACAGCCCCACTTAAACAAACTTTTTTTTAACTTTTGTATTTTTTTTTTTTTTGATCAGCAAGAAATTTTTTAATTAATAAAATAGCAAAAGTTACAATCAGTTACAAAAGTTATAGGTAGCAGAAAAGCATTACTCTAATCTAAACCCACAAACAATCAGTTACAGTTCTACTTTTTTTAACTGTAGCAGAAATTTTTTTTAACTTTTGTATTGTAAAAGGAATTATAATTATGAATCATTACAAGAAAGCACCATCCTTTAGCCTCCAATATAGTATTCTTTTAAGAATCACTAAGAAAAAACATCTAATTATCTCCATTAGCATCTCTATTGACATATGAATTTTCTTAAGAATTGAATGTCAAGCCACAGGTGTATGACAACAGATAGATAAAAATCTCAGAATGAAAGTTTCTTTTCAACAATTTAAGTTGACATGAACCTGAAATGCATCATATCTGAATTAAAAAAAAAAAAAAAAAGGCATTTCATGGAAAACTGCAATTTCAATCTCATCCGCACTATTTTTCCTTGTACTGATGGAAATTACAGAACTATCCTTGTCAAAGACCTAAGGGAGTATTATCACTACTACTAAGGTTGGTGTAGTTGTGCAACTGGGGATTGTCATACTTGAACATATACATGTTTAGGACTTGTGACCTCATAATAAAGCCAAAAAATGTTTAAAAGAAATATCACATCAAGGAAAAGAGGGATAGTTTCATGATTCTGAAAGACCTTTATAGTCTTGGTTTTTTTTTATTTTTGATAAATTTTCTCTATAGTCTTGTTGCACACTCAATTCAATGTTGTCCTCACCATAGATCAATGAAATATTCTAAACAACGCCCTTTCAAATAGATTTTTGAAATTAAAGTACCATTTCAATCTATCTCAACATACAAACAGTATATTAATCTCATAAATCATTTTTAAGACCAGATTAATGCTATTCCTATGCTATATTACTTTTCAAATTCACTCTCTGCCCTACATATTTATTAATGGAAATACTAGGCAAAATTTTGTCACTGTAGAAAAGAGGAATAATGAAGTAGAGCAAATAAATAAGTGTGAACCTTATTCCATCCCCAGCCAAAGAGTCTTCCATCAGAAGTGAGTGCCATAGTGTGTCTCCAACCACCTGATATCTGAAAAGAAGTGGTAAACAAAGTTGAGTAAAGTCTGACCAAAGAAGCAGCAACAAATATAATTCATGGAAATACAAGGTTACGTTCATCTTTCTTTGGGAGATATTAAAAGGTTAATCAGTGAAAAAGAATTATATAAATTTACACACTATTATACATAGAAATTTCCATGATTAATATTAATAAAACTTGCTTAGGCTATTCAAACAGAAAAATAAAATATAAATAAATTTAGAGCACCTTATTCTTTTTACCAAATAATGGTTTTCCTCTTTCTGAAGCATGAGAACCTTCAAGAAAGTGTGATTGTAACATGTGATGTAAAATCTCTTAAAATGCAAAGCCTCTGCACAAGTGCGATTGTAACATGGACAATTTGGGAAAGTCAAAACATGAGAACCTTAATGAAAAAGTGCATTGGGCAAAGACTTTGGAAATGTTTTCTGCCTTCTCCATGGATCAACTGTCTAGAAGGTCGTACTAGGTAGCTTCTTCATCAACCTCTAGGGCATTGTTGCAGCCACAGTGGTCCCCTCCTAGGCCCAACCACACAAAGTTAAACTTTAAAGGTTGTGCTTTAGGAAATCCATGATTGTCAAGGATAGATGGAATGTTTAGGGACCACAATGGCACTCTATTCGCTTTATATTCAGGAACTGTTGGACATGAAGATTCATTGAGAGCTGAATTTCTGGCTGGAATACAAGGGCTAGGAATTGGTAAGTGGTTGAATCTAAAAAATATTGTGATGAAAGGGAATTCAAAGGTGGTAGTAGGTTGGCTCAAGAACAATCAAGGACTCTAGAAGTACGGGGCAGAAGATAGTAGGCAAAGGATTTAAATTGTATAGTTTGTTGGGTCCAAGAGTCAGCCAATGGCATGGCTGATGCTTTAGAAAAACATGGTTTGAGCGGGGGAAGATTGTATTAGGATCAGTTGTAATGTGATTAATTGCTTGAGGGCTAGGTGTATGCCACCCTAAACATGGGTTGTTTAGCATAATTGTATATGTTCTATTCTCAATTTAATTAATAAAAGTAATTTTTGGGAAAGAAAAAGTTACATTTACCCATCAGAAAATTTTATGATTATTTCAATATTTAAATAATCAAAATATCATTTTTTTAAATAAAATTAGAAGAAATTCTTGTTTACCACAAAGGACCAAAGTGGGTCCATCAACCATTGCTCTTAATTCACCAATCTGATCTTCAATCCCATCAATAAAAGCCTCTATTAGCTACTCCTTTTAACAGAAACAGTCCAGTCAAGCAAAATACAAAATCTCATTAGAAAATCCAGTCAATGATATGAAAATTTGAAGTCTCAAATGACTTGTATAGCAGATCCTAAATTTGAGTTATATTATGCTCAATAGGATTTGGGATAATTGAAGTGGACTTGACCAAATTCCTCATCAATTCAAAAGTGCAAAACATCTTTCCACTGAAAAGGTAAAAGAAAGTAAGAAATCATAACTAGTACAATTGGTGAAAACAAAACTGACCTGAGAAATAAAATCATCACGTAGAGATTCCAACTGGTGAGGGATGAGGTGATCCTCAAAGTCCCCATGTCCTAGCTGACCATATTTGCTCCACCCATATGTGTATATGGTCCCAGATGAGGAAACAGATATTGTGTGTCGCCATCCACATGCAACTAGAACCATGTTCTCACCCTAAAAGATTAAAATTTTTTGAAGGAGGTTTCAAACAAGCAACTTAAAAAAAAAAAGTATGCTACAGGAACATGGAAGTAATCAAGCATGGTATTAGAAAAAGATTCCAAATTGATCATCTAAATATGAAAAACATGAGATAAGTCACTATTCCTATTTGTTTCTGAGTGTTTACTAGTGATCTATGTGTATATTCCCTTGCTGCACATGATAGGTTGGAAATGGAAAAGTACCAAATAATTGAAACTACATGAATATGGAAGTATTTTATACTTAATTTCTAATAATATTTGACATGAAATATTGATAATCATAGGAAGCTTCTCCGTTGGAAGTCTACTTGTTTGTCTGTTCATACTTCGTACCACAACGTGGAAAAAACTTGTTGACACAGCAACCTTATCTGAAGTTGTTACATTCAGTGTTTGGTTGAACAAATTATTGATGTTGACCTAATGACCAGTTATAGTGTAAAGGCAACAGCAACAACAAAAGCCCCTACCTCACAGTCAACCTAATGAAAATCTATATGACTCGAGATTTTGCATAGTTGTCTCCATGGCTCTCAATACACAATAGCTTCATGGGCATAGATTATAACTTGTTTTCTGATAGTCAAAGCCTTTTCGGAAACAGCCTCTCTGTATGTGCAGGAGTAAGGCTGTGTACATCTATCCCTCCCCAGACCCCACATTGGTGGAAGCCTTGTGCACTGGGATGCCCATCAATGTATAGATTACTTGTATATCCCTATTGTAAAGTGCCTTAGTGTACATGTATAGGGGTTGTGATGTAATCTTTTAGTACATACAATTAGAGGTGCAACTTGGGTGGCAGAACCAATAGAGGTGCCTACATGTATGTGCAGGGGTTGTTTTCTTTTCCTATTTTTATCAGTAACAGTTAAAGACTAATTAAATGATATGCACAATATAGAAGGGGGAAAAACTCCAGAAGAAGTGGCAGAACCAGCCCCAGGCTAAGATATAATAGAAAGTATGCACCAATAGGGAATGGCCAATGCCTATAAAATGCCCCCTCCCCCATGTAACTGAAAGGTGGTGATGTAATGCAGACTCCAAAAACAAGTGATATCAGATAAGTGAACCTAGTATCTAGAGACCAGCACTCCAACATTAACAACTTAGAAAAGAAAAAAACAACACAGCACTTTTTTCCAACCATCCTTGAAGTTGAAAAACAAAATCAAAGAAGAACCTGCCATACATCTGTACAACCTCTTCCTATTCCCTTGCCTCTCCCTCAATCTCCCCTCCCTAATTCCTCTTCAAACGTGGAATTATCAACATGCATATCTGGAACAATATTGATATAGCTCCAGCTTTATCAGCCACTTCAACAGACTCCATATTCCAACCTCAGGATTCCCTCACCCTTGGCTCAGGTACCCTCATTTCTTCCAAAGCATTCCTAACATCACATTCCCCCAACCTTACAAAATACTAAGGTGCATTAACGTTTCTACCTACGTGTACCAATACCAACTTCCCAATGATCTTCACAGTATGACCAGCCATCTTTGCAATGTACATAGATTCTGGTACCTCAACTACCACCTCATTAAGTCCACTACTGCTATGAAGAGAAGCGGTAGTCTAAGGATCATACTTATCCACTTATTACTCAACAGAGCATTCCATGTTACCCTGATCTCCTTCTATACACCAGAAATGTTAAACTCTCATACTGGTATGGATTTAATGGGTATTCAGTATTCACACATGCCCAACCCAAGTAAACTTCCTTCATTTTGGGATTCTTTTCACTTTTCTTTTCCTTTCTTTTTTCTTATTTTTTTGTTCAGATGAGGCAGTAAAGTGATACTTGTGTGAATATCAGAAGGAAGTATAACAATACACAATAAAACCCTGTTTACAAGTTTATAACAATCTGCTATACAATGGGACCAGACCAACATTGGCTTGACTAACTCAGGCATAATACACACACAAACTTGTATATCTAATATCTATAAATGTTACATCTAGATAGATTGGCATATATGTTTGTTACTGTGAAGATGATACAGCTGAAAGATAATTTGCATGGTATATTTATATATTCACTTGATAGGAACTTTTCTGTTATTTCTCTCACTAAGGGGCCTATTTATAATTGTTTAGATTTTACCTTAGTGTATATATTAGAATCTTTCGGGCGTTGCTTGTTATATTGAGACACCCCACATTCTTTCTATCTTTCTCCATCATTTTGTTGCATTATAATTGTGTAAGGTTTATCCCTGTTTCAATAAGCCAAAGATCGTCATTGTCAAGATTTCTTATCAATCTTCTGGCTGAAACATCCAACTTTTAGTTTATGTAGTTCCTTGCAACATCTGAGGCAATTATTGCATAAACAGTAGAATACTCTTTTTACCTTTTATTATGTGATTTTCATTCATGATAACACTCATTACACGGTAATGATAACATTTTTGAAAGCCAGAGTGATGGTGAACAGGATGGACATAAACAAAGCATCAAGAGTCCACCCTTAATGTGTAGAAGCACATTAAAGATTAAAGACCCATACAAGCTTCCCATGGCAATAAAGATTAAAGACCCATAAACTCCATCCTGGCTAACACACTTTAGCTAAACTGCTAGCAACAAAATTAAACTCTCCATGAATCCACTGCCAGCAACAAAATAAAATTCTCCATGAAAGTCACCAAGGAACTCTTTCATACCCTTTATCCTATCTAATGCCTTATGTGGTTATGCCTTGATGAATTCCCTTCTGTTATAACTGATGAGAGCCCAATGCCAAATAAAAAGGTCATAAATTTATAGTTGAAATAGATTCTACCTAACCAGTTAGACACTATAAACCTAAACTATGCCTCCTTTCCTACCGGAGATAAAGCCCCTAATCTTGGAGGATCTGGCTTGCCTATGGAACTATGTCAAATCTCAGTCTCAGCTGCTCACTAATGTGAAAAGATAAAATACTGTATAATTTGTATAATATTATCATAAGACAAGCATCATAGAACCATACTGGTATATACTTGCACTTTAATTGTCCCATAAGTGCAAAGAGGTCATTGTGCATTGTTGAACTTAATATATTTGCATTTAATATATGTATAGTTAACCAATCAGTAGGCTAAGCTTGATCTGATAGAAAATAAGAGAAACAGAAAGTTGAGGGAAAGTCCTTTACAAATTTTTGAGAAATTCCTTAAGAACTTTCCCTCAACTTTCTGTGTCTCCCTTATTTTCAATCAAATTAAATGCAACCTTATAGGATCATGTATTGGCACGTTTCCCTATTTTTCTAGGATCAGTTCAATTGGTTCTGTCAGCTAAAAGGTTCATACTGGACCACTGTATTGTCTTGTAAAGGGAATCACCAGTATATTTCTTCTGATTTCTTCCTAGTCAACACCCCTAAACTTCTTTTAATCCATGACCCAAGAAGCAGCCAAAAACTTAACTTTTTAATGAATTAAGAAGCCAAGTGGAAATCAAATTTCAAGAACTCTTCCTCTACTCCCATAAATTCTGGAGTAATTGTATAAATCCCTCCATAATGATTTTTATAGATCCACAATAAGATAATGCAACTTTAAAATTACTATTTTCTTTTTTTCCCCTTCCTCATTGCCCGATTCATCAATTTATTTCCCAAGGTACCATTAAGCTTATGTGAGTATTAGTTAGTAGTAATATGATGCCTGAGTTATTCATGCCAATATTGATCCCATTCTATAGCAGGTCGTTACACATGGGAATCTACTGTTCATTGTTATACTTCCTTTTGATATTAAAATAATTGGTACCTTACCATTTTAAAAAGGTAAAAAAAAGTTAATTGGTCATCTATCTTTCACAACTCAACAATCTCTTCATTCTCACAGAATAAATTCATAAATTGTTCATCTTCCCAAATGTACCACATGAAAAGAAACAAACTGAGGTGTTTTGGCAGTAAAATTGGATAAGAAACTGATGATTAACCCCATCCCTCCCCCAAAACTAAGTTGTTTCTCAACTTTTCCTTGTTATGATGTAGTTCAGTTTAACTGCTCATAATAGACACAAATGCACTCACATCAGAACTTACATAAAAGTCTTAAGAGGAGTAAGCAAAGAAATAAACTTGTTTATAAAATCTAAGATGATGATTTAAAATTTGAATAACACTGGATAAAACAAATTGGTCTCACAGAGTTGTTTGACATACATCCACAGAAGTAACTTGTGCAGGTACTAATCGATCTTTCCTGTCACCTAAACCCAAGTTCCCATATCGTCCCCACCCCCAACCATAGAGCTTGCCATCTTTTGTAATTGCAGCTGTGTGTTCAGCACCAGCTGCAACCATTTTGACAGATAACCCCTGCAAAAAGAACAACAAACTTAGACAGAGAACATAAATTTTTTTATCAAAGGAGCATAAAATATATTAACACTACCGATGAAACAAACTCACATATGTGGGGTGCATTGGTAGGCTGATTTATCACACGAGCAAATTATAGCTTAACACAACACCATGTTTGCCACAAGATAATTGAAGGTCTACTTCAGGCTACTATACTTTTGTTGGTTGTTACCTAATTTCTTGGAAAAGAATGAGTGCGTAGGTGGAATAAGAGCAAGAAATCATATAACTTACAAGTTACTTTGGTTGAAGTCCCACTTAAATTTGTGGGTGAAGTAGAATATCCTAGGAAATTATATCATAACAACCAGGGAGCAACTAATATTGGGCTAAATGGGGAGGCATTCACTCCATTTTTAGTCACAATATCAGTTGAATATATTCATAAAAGATCTATAGAAGCAAGTGTCAACAAACTAACACTGAAGCAGATGGCATATATACTCCATGTAGGGGGTAGGGAGACTGTTGCTGTGTCATGTATTGCACCAAAGGGCATTTTAGCCTTTTGTACTTATTAATTTCTTCAAAGACATGATAATAGATGTATTCTCTCCAATCTATTGGTGTCATATATTGCAATTCTACCTCCATGCATGAATTCAAGAAGTTCTAAAAACAAACTTCATTCAAAATTTCATATTGACTTCAAAATTAAAGAGAATGTTGCTATTTATAAGAAAGAAAAGGCTCCCTTTACAAGAATCATTGCTTCTTAGTCAAGCAACCAAAAAAGACAAGGAAATAAAAGAACAAAAGTGGGAGGACAAAAAAGTATCCCTAAGCATCTTCCTGAATATTCTGTTACAGAGTCTTCTAATACGGGGCTTCCTGCGATGGAATCCACTCTAATTTGAGGGATCTGGCTAATAAGGGAGCCCTGTGGGTATGGGCCCAAAACCAAATGGGTAAAAACTACTGTGCTGCAAAAGAGAGATAGAGAGAGGCCCAATATAAGGGATGCAAGTCAATTACCCAATTTGAAGAATTAACACTACATCAGGCCCAGGCCCTCAAGCCAGGTCCATTAAAATTTTAAAGAATATTCAACCCAAGTTACATCTCTATCCAATCTTACCTAGGCCCAAGGTGATACATATGGTCCACTCACTTGTACATTCAGTGATATAAAAAGTGTGCCCAAGTGCACAGGCAGGGTGTGTTTCAATGTATACACCTTGCTTGAGCCTAGGCAGAGCCCCTTTTAAAAGGCATGTGCATAGTGCACCTTGCCCCTCAGCCAGGCATGCACCAGACGGGGGTTCCATCACCAGACCTTGACCAAGCCCTTTGAGGCAAGCCCAAACAACTCCATGAGAGGGTCTTAAATTTTCGTCTTATATACAAAGAGATTGGTTCTGTAATCTTAGTTGCAGTTCATTAAGTTTTAGGATTGGGAATCAACTGTTGTTTGAAGAAAAATGTCTTGTATTAAGCAGGATGAGAAAAACAACACTACCTGGGGGGGATTAATCAGAAGGGAAGACGTTCTTTCTCAAACAACATTCGATTCCTAATACTAAAATATAATGAACTACAACTAAAATCACTTTTTCTGATAATAAAATAAAAAACCAATAAAAGAAAGAAAGTACAAGAGGAAGTTGATAACATATCACCCGAGAGAAGAATAAACAGCCCCTAACTTCAAGAAGAACTCATATCCTACAAGAATCCTGACCAAAAGATCCAAGACAAACAATTGACAACACTCATCCTTGGATGCATAGAGTCAATCTAGTAGAATTTAAGAATACAAGGTGCTTAGCATGTTTCAACTAGGATTTTGTACAAATGTTGAAATTAATAATAGAACATTTCCCAACCACTAGAATAATAATTTGCCATCCAAGAAGAGAAATTGCCTTAAGTTAAAAGCATAACCTCCAATACCTGGAATTCTTGGATTTTTTGTGGCACCAATGAATCTTCAATGTGGCCAAGACCAAGTTGACCATTTTGATTCCGTCCCCAACTTCAGCAAGAATAGAAAAAAAAAAAAAAAAAAAAAAAAATCAATATACAAAATATATCAAAAACTAAGATGGTGCACAGAAACTCAAAAAAAAATACCAGAAAAAATGAACTTGCAAGAAGTAAGTCATTATATTTTAAGTCCAAATAAAATTTCTAATGAAGATAAAAGATAACCTTGATAAACAGAGAGATGACCAAGTAATACAACCTTAGGGCCTAACCACCGTATGTCATTGATTATCAGTATGATGAGATGGAGATATTTCTATCCAACTAACTTGCCCAAAAGACACATGCAATCAAGTCTATAACAATCCTAAAACAATGATGGAAAGAATAGGATGTTGCACACTGACACTGATGTTCTTTATTCTTTCCTTATCTTTTATTGGATAAGCTGGGATTGAACTATCCAATAATGCAACAGGATCCTATAATTTTGTATCAGAATTTCTATTACAAATAGCTTTCTTAACCAAAATTATATTTCAATAAAGATCTCTATAACCTGCCATGTTCATCATACAGATGAATAAAGAAAAGCAGTCACAAGGAAAAACTGTTGTAAAAGAAAAATAACTGTATTAAGAATAGCCATAAAAATATTACTTCTTTAAGCAAGAAAATTCTCCTATAACCAGAGGAAAAATGTCCAGCATCACTCCAAGTTATACATCTTTTTGCATCAATATCAGAATATATCAACTTCTACATGGAATTTTGTGACCATTTACAATGAAATAATTTTTCACAGTTATAATTATAAATAAAATTAAAAGCATGCAATTTTTGACACAATGAAGGAAATTTTGATGCAAGCCCTATTTAATGTTTGAGAGTCAAAAAGATGGAAACTCCTTTCATCTGAACTTTCCATGGACAGCTAGCTTCCCCAGTCAGAATCAACAATACTTCATTAAAATTATATGAGATATATGTTTTAAGGCCAGAAGAAAACAGTTCAGTTCTGTTTGTTGATTGTATGGCTCAAAACCCAAAAAAAGAAATAAAAGAAGAAAACAGTTCAGTTCTGAGAGCAGCCAATTAGTGCAAAAAAATTCCAGAGACCAGGTCCTTATCCAGTTCACCCCTCCCAATACCCTAGAAAACTGTGGCCAGCAGTGAGTAATGGCCATTTTTCATTTGAAAGAGGTGCTGATTTAGGCATACCCCAAGTGAAAAAACAAAAGGTACTCTAGTTTATAGTTAAAAAGTCAATACAAAGGGTTATTTACCATAAGAACTTTTTTTTTGTAATTAATTAGGGAACTGCCTGTTTATCAAAATTGGGATATGCCCACTGCCCTTCAAATAAATTTGTTATTTAAATTTATCTTGGAATCAGTGAGTTGCAACTTGTTCTTCTAGTTTCAAACGATTTAAAAGAGTATGTGACAAAGCTTCTGAAATGATAATATGGCATTTTCTAGAAAAAAAAATCACCAAACATATCACATAATTCTGATGCAACCTGGGCAAGTGAACGTTATGAATAGAAAATTTGTTACTGCACTTGTGCTAGTTGCAGCTATTTGCATAGTTACTATCAAACATTTACTGCTTGGCAGCGGGTTCTAGATAGAAAAAAAAAAGAATTTTCTTTTTTTCTACAGTTTCTCTCTCTCATGGGCACACATTACATAGAAAAAGGGCTCTGCCTCTTTTTCTTTTTCCCTTTTCTTAATTCTCTCTCTTAGAAACTTTTTATTAATATAAAATTATAGCCAATCTTCAGTTGTTAATGATTTGACATGCAACTGCTCTATTAAATACTTATTATGTGAGAGGAAAATCAATTTTATTAGTGAAGAACATTATTATTTTTACAATTTATGTGCATGCTAATTGGTATATAAAAATAGGAAAATAACCTAATATTTAGGTTTTTTTCTCTGTAAAATTCTATCACCTAAACAACTAAGCACTTCACTATGTTGCATGGATACCATTTTGGAATTTGGCATACTTACAAGATGTAGGACCAAGAATTCCTAAAAAAGTAGGATTCAGTAGCTTGGCACATATACTTTGGATTTTTGGATTTTATTTTTTTTACTATAAATTTTTATGGTATGTACATAATGAAATAATTGTTGAAAAAGAAGATAAGTTAAATATAGAACCAATGCACACAACACTACATAAAGAAAATAATGTATAATTGATATATTAAATTGTCAAATATTACAAATTCACGATTCATAACTAAATTTTAACCTAAGGTGGAGTATGGATTGGGGGAAGATGTAGGAAGAAGGGCAGAGTCCACGGTTCAGTGGATAATGGAATTATTAAACCCCTAGTCATTCCCTTATCCATTGAAGCAACAGAAAAATCAATTAAAAAAACACTACCTCCCATATTCCGTGTGAGTTGCTCTTCAGATAAGAATAGCACACATGGAAAGTCGCAGATTTTGGATGCTTTATGTTCTGCTTTTCTGCTTCTGCCCTAATGCAAAAACAACCAATTTGAGATCCTTTACTACATATTTGACAAAGAGAAATTACCCTCGAGTTCATGCTGATGTTCTGCACATGTCTAACACCAGTACAGTGTTGATTTTGGTATCCCATGTAATATGGCAAAAAACATCAGGAAAGCTCCAATACATGTTGGAGAATAGGGCTATGGGCTCAAGGACTAGGGATAGTGAACACATGGTAAATCAAAAAGATCCCCTATTAATGGATTTTCTGGACTGGCCACATCATTTCTCAAAAAAAAAAAAAAGAAAAAGAAAAACATCAATCAAAACCTTCCACATCAACCCCTAAACATTAGATAGACCATGTCAAAAAAATTGGAAAAAAACAGAAAAGGAAAAGACAATTTGCCTTCTTGATTTATATTACATCTTTACATGAAAAACGTACTAATTACTTGGTGATACAAGAACTAATTAGTACAAACAATAAAACGCTATTGAAGGATACTGACTTGATATAGGTCCATAGGAACCAAGAAGAAAAGGAGAACAATTTGGGCTGATCCACCTTACTAGATGCATCAAACCCAAGCCTGTAATACTTACATCAGCAGGTGGATCTAGCATAGATAAGCAAAAATACACACACACACACACACAGACTACCAACCTCTGCACTTCCCCATCCATAGTCACTGCCAAGCAATGGCTATCTCCGCAAGCAATTTGTTTTATCCTAATACCATGTAATGCTTTGATTGATTGAGGAGTGAACAAGTCACTGGAGTTACCATGACCCAATCGTCCAAAATCACCCCTGTAGATACAAAACATCCAACACTATCAACTTAGCATGAAAATAAATGCAACTCAGAATAACTTCAGGAAAAAAAAAAAGAAAGCAAAAGAAAAAACAAAAAACAGATTGCATACACTAACTTTAACTAACGTATAATAACCAGATAAATGAATGAATGACATATAGTTGGCAGGTGCCAGGAGCAAGGATAACACAAGTTGTGTCAGAACATCAAGGAACAGTACATCATTTATACACCTGACTCTGTTTATAAGATTTCATTTATATTCTAACATAGAATAGTTTTGCAAATGCAACCTTATGCAGAATTTTCTTAGTTAAAACTTATCGATAACAAGTTCTATTAACAGAAATAAAATAATGCTTAGGATAAGTATTATTGGATAATTTGCAATGAAAGAAAATAGATTATTGCATAACCCTATTAAAAGAAAAAAAAAAAAAAAAAACACTTAACAACATAATTTTATGCTTAGGGAGCAAGCAACACACCATCCCCAACTATACACTTGAGATTGGGATTCAGAATATGCAATTGTATGATCAGCTCCACAAATAACAGAAACAATGTCATGACCATCAAGTGCACTCATTTGGGTAGGAGAGAGTCGATCTTCAGCATCTCCATGGCCCAACTGTCCATCCTCTCCTCGTCCCCAGGAGCAAACAACATTGCCAGCTGTAGTACATTTAGAAATCACATTCTTAAATATAAAGAATAACAATAAGCCATTTAAGTACAAATTCTTTAAGTTAAATATCTAGTTAAAACTGCAGGGATTATAATTTGCATGTCATAAATGATAATAGAAGGATCCATAAAGTTAATATATCTCTAGACGAACAAACTACATTTACCACCACGAAGAACTTCCAACTTTAACAATCAGTACACAAGAAAATAGAACTCTCAAATTTAAAATTTCGGAATAGAACAAAAAACTTAAAAAAAAAATAAAGAAAGATTCACATATCAACAGTTCAGTGGAAAATTCATCTTCACCAAAGAAGCTACTTTCTTTTTATTGATGTATGGTTCCTTTATAATTCAGAGTGCCTCATCTCTTAACTATTTTCTTGTCTTCATGTTCTGTGAAATTTTTGGAGTGGCTAAAACTTATAATGTTTTAGAAAATTGCTAATATTGATTTCTGGAAGAGAATTTGATACAGAGAGAGAGAGAGAGACTTTTGTTTAAGGGGTCAGCTAAGTCATTTCATTAGTGATGCAAATGGATATCTTGCTTCAGGTATACATGGACCCTTGAATTCCCAGCTCATAATGTAAGCATTTTTCCACTTAACTAAGTCCATAATTGATGAATGCTCATAACTGACTTCATCAATTATGAACCACTAACATCAACTAATTAAACCAACAAACATTTTGGCAATTCCAAGAAGTCAGCAAATTTCATCCCTAAATGGCAGATGGACTATTACTTAATCCGATTCCTATTTTCCATAAACACTAAATTCGAATCATCCATTGCGGTTTACCATTGCATTCAGATGCAAGTTCATCATTTTCACCCATTCACTTCACAGTTTCAACAATGAAATCATTTCCGTTTTCTCGTAGTAACTGAAAAACAATCCCTCTTCAGGTGACGGCATTGTGGGTTCCATTGAAATGCCATGAAAACTCTAAATGAAATGATCTCATTTCAGGTGGCATCCAAACATGACACAAAAGAACCAATCCACCTTAAAACAACAAACAAGTCCGGGCTATAAAAAACAGTTCAAACTTACTAAGAAGAGCAACAGAGTGACTAGCCCCAGCCGAGATGAGAACGACTTGACGAGCCGTCCCAGTGACTTCACTGTTTGCTTCCTCCGCCATTTTTTTTTCACTCTTTCACTTCTGCAAAAATCTCAATTCCCTCTCTCTCCTGTCCCCTTTGCAGAGAAGATAAATACAGAGGAACCCAGAAAGCTAAAACCAAAACTCTCTCCAAATAGAGCAGTAGGAGCGTCAGAAACCCGGAATTGGTGTTGTATCTCCCGCAGAAAAGATATAAAGAAGAGATCAATATTTAAATGATTTTCTAGAGAAAGGACAAGTGCAGGTGGGCAAAGAAGACAATAATTGCGGGAAATTTGGGGGTGGGAAGTGGGAACTGAGCAACTCCGGAAACCGCTTCCTCTGGTTCGTGGTGGAGAAGCGTTGCATATTCATTGTGCGAGAACCCAACGTCGACGTGGGCCAACGATACGGCTCCCTGCCCTTTGCAAACTCTCCACCACCACCACACATTTCCATCTCCTCTTTTTCCAAATCGAAGACCATTTTTACATACTTTGTATCTCCACCATCAGCCATCTCTTTCTCTTTATGCCCACCTGATTCATGCTTGGCTCCATGGGTCAGTCATTGTTGTGGGTGTTTGTCTGATCGAGTCTAATGTGTAGTGAGTAGTTGACTAATGACTCAGCACTTGCAGTGTGTGCACTGACTGATGCAGATAGGGTTGGGTCCGTTGGGATGGTGTTCTCTGACTCTGAGCAAGATATGGACCGGACGGGTGGCCACGAGCCGAGCCGAGTTCAAGTCTGATAAAACTCAGACTAATAAAACTCCGAGCTTTATTAGTCTCTGACTCCGAGCTTTTCAGTTTGCAAATCGAGTCGAGTTCGAGCCTAATAAAATTCAGCTTATAAAACTTGGGAGTCTAATCGATGCTAGTATAATAAATAAATAATTTGTTATTATATATAAATATATATATAATAATTTTTATTATATATAATCTTTTATATGTATAATAATACATAATTTTAATAATTCTTAATTTTTTGTATGTAAAATAAAAAAATTATTTTTATATGTATAATTTTTACTTTTTAGAAAAAACTTGGCTTGCAGTCGAATTCGAACTTGCAAGCTTTTAAACTGAGTGAAACTCCAACTCAAGATCAAGTTTTTAGCTCAAATCAAGTTCGAACTTAACACTATTTCAACAAGCCAAACTCGAATAGCCAAATAATCGACTCGGCTTGACTCAAATCTACCCATGAACCTACCTTAGGTCAACCCAGTTCAGAATCAGTTAAGGGCTGAACCTGGTACAAGTTCAATGGTTTTATACAGCTCCCCTTGTAGTTATAGTACAGGTTCCAGCCGTACTTGGCCCCAGAATTAAAGTCTAACAATAAGTTAGCTTTTGAATATAAACCCGGAATTGGGCAAGTTGGTGGCCTGGCTTGCACATGGGTCTCAAGGCAAGTACACTGTCAACCCAAACCTAGCCTAGCTCTAGTCATGGGTTAAACAAGAAACTGTAAAGAATGTATGCCAAGTTTGGAGATTTGTCCTTTTCATTTATTCCCAATTGGCAATTGGTCAGGTTAGGCATGGGTTTGATTCAATCTGAACATGAACCCGTTTCTTTCAGACAAAATAAAATGGGATACCAAATTCAAGCCACCTATAAATAGGGTTGTCAAGTGGACTGGATTTGATCCAATCGGGTCCAGTCCAATGTGAGTCCATTACAAATGGACCTGGTCCAATCCAGTCCAATGAATATTTTGGACCATTTTGGATCGGTCCAGAAACTATCCAATCTGTTAAAATTCCTGTTAATTTAGATTGATTTCAATCCAAACCTGGCCCATTGACACCTGTGTCCTTATCTTCTATTAATGGACTAGATATTAGCTCAATCCAATATAAATTCATTATGGATGGACCAGGTCTAATCCAATATGTCATATTGGTCCGTCCAGTCTGTCCAAATTCAATATGTCTTATTGGTCCGTCCAATCTGTTCAATTGGATTTTGATTTGGATGGAGTCTAACCCAAAACTGGTCCATTGACACCCCTACCTATAAATAGTACACATGCACTCAACCAAATCTATATGTACAAATGTTTCAATGCTACAATGTCAACTGGTCGGATTTGCCATGGCTTGGCCTCAACCAGAACCTGACTTGAAACCTGATTAAGGCTGACCAAACACTAGGGGTGCAAGTCGGGTGAGTTGGGCCGGGTCTATGGTCAACCCAGGCCCTAAAATTTGGGCTTAAGGCCCAAGCCCGAGGTCAAGCCCGATTTTCCCAACCCAAGCCCAGCCCACCTTGTAATTTGATGCACTCAGGTTGGTCAATGAGCCTACTCTAAGTTACGCACATATAAATGTATTTATGCAAATATATATACATATATTAATGTATGTATGTAAATATGTGTGCAAAATATTTACACAAAAGTTATATATACAAATATGTATATATATATAACTATGTATGTAACATTTACATATATACACATATATGTATAAATATATATATAATTGGGTCGGTTCGAGTTCAGACTGGGCCCGCCCAAATTGCACCCCTACCCAACACTGACCTGGAATTGGATCAAGGTTTGTAACTTAACCTGACCCACTGACATCTCTAGGCGCAATAGGACATACCAACCAATGACCAAGGAGGTCTAATTGACTAATGTTATACGGGTAGCACATGGCCAAGTGGAAAGCATATGAGGTAATTCTGCTCACCTAGTTCATTATTCAGTCCCGTCGGGAATAGAGGAATGTACAATGAACTCGGGGATGAATTGGCTAGATGAGTCATGTAGCTTAGGGGCTGCAAGTAGTGAATCCTAAACCTCTCATGATAACGAGTATGTTTGGTTCTGTGGGTGTTTTATTGGAAAAACGTTAATATATCAGCGCCATTTGGGTGTTGGTTTTATTGTACATGAAACCACTGTTTGATTTAAATGTTTATCAAATAAACATTAAAAAAAAAAAACGTTTAGACTTGTATGTATGAGCCATTGGGGAAATTTCAAATTCCGCCTTCTCCCAATGGCCCAACGTTTATAGAAATGCAATGCTTAGATGGAGCATTATAAACTGATGTAAAAGATAACTTTATATGGTGTTACTTGAATGCCCAATCAAACAACAAATGTTTAAAGTGATGTTTTTCAATCAAACATTTGTCTAAGACACACCCCATCTATAAACGTCTGCCCACGAAACTAAACACATACAACATGGATGAAAAGGCTCCGTTTTCAATTTTTTCGGGCCTTCTCAAAAATGAGAAAAGCCCTCCAAAAATAGGCATAGCAAAAGAATAATTTGCTATGCATACATTAATAGAAGTAATGAAACTTAAAATTCTCATGGCTAGTGTTTTCAACCCATTATTGATCCAATTGGTCAGACTGGTAACTCAGTGATCTACATAAAAACCCTGTTTGGATCAATTTCTAACCAGCTATATTATTACAAAATACCGTTAATTTGATCAATGATTGATTAATATAGATGGTTGAACCAATGACCTGTCTAACCCATTCAATGGATTCTCGATTTTTTAAATTTTTTATAATGATAATATCATAGGCTGATCAATCAACGAGATTGTTGGACTTGACACTTTGACGCAGAGCGAAAAATGGTTCAATCTCTGGGCTGGGTTTTAAAACATTGCTCGTGGCAACACAAGTGATGCAATGTCAAGGAGTGCTCCCTCTACTATGAAAAGGAGGGAAAGGGAACTCATTTTTTTGGGGGAAAATCTATGATGCAGAAAAGATATGATATGGAAAGAGTTTTGGCCAATCAAAACCCATCCATGAATTTTGATAAATAACACCTTATTTGCAACCATGTTTATGATTTCAGTTTATTGGTCAATTGTTTTTTTCATATCATATCTTTTCCATATCATAGTCGAACCCTTTGTTTGGAAAAACTTTTTAGTCCTTTTGAAAATAAGGGAATGCTCCCACCAATAATGGATAACAAAGGTTAGTCACCATTATAGAAGTGAATTCCACTTATTAGGGTATTTTTCTTAGGAATCAAGATCTCCTACCCACATTTACCCAATCTATATATTTGGAACATTCCCCCATAAATAATAAAAAACTTATAAATGTGAAAGATGTTCCAAAGGTACAGCTATAGTGTCTTGTGAGTAGATGTGGGTAAGATCCTTGTGGGTAAGAGATCCGAGCTCTATTCTCAGAACTTTTGAATGTTCGATTGTTAATGTCAACTAGGATTGGGAATAGAGAGGTAATATACAAGTATGATGATATCTAACATCGACATGACTCAACACTTAGAATCAAAGTCTGGAATGAAAATATAAAGGAAGAAGTGAAGAACTATTTTAGGGTTGTAAATTGAATACCTGATTTGAAGATTTTACACTGCATCAGGCTTGAGTTTCTACCAAGAGCTGCACAAGTTGCACTTGCACCACAACCTTTTCTACCTTACCCTTTTGGGTTAAAAACCAAAAGAAGAAAAAGCAGGTGACAGATCAGTCTATTATTTTTGGACTCACAAGGGCATCAAGGGTCCTGAATGATTTTTTTTTTTAACAATTTGAAATTGACTACATTATTATGGGTGTATTCCTTCTCTCTATGTTTGGAAATTAAGAGAAAAACAAAAGAAAAAATAAAAAACTTGATAGGAAGTTATTGGAATTTCACTATATGTTGTGGAGAATTGCCCCAACTTTCTGTCTCCCTCTTATCTTCTATCAAATCAAACATAACCTAAATGTCAAGTTTGTTCATTTAGGTCTTCATTTTGCGACCCACATTTGCCAAAGAAATCTATACAATGATTTTCGTTTGAATATGTGAGACTGATATATTGATTTGATTTTTTATTGACTTGTTGCTAACTATATATTCTCCATATGTCCTTATGACATCTTTATCTTTCATGTTGATGGAGTGCAATCCGGCCAGTCCTAGCTGTCAACGATCTTGCCTCTGGCTGGAGCAAAAGGTGCCTGAAACGGGGAAAGAAGCGAGTAATCTCCGGGGAGGAACCCGGTGAGAGTGCTTCGAATCTCAAGTTAGTATTCCCACAGACGGCGCCAATTGATGGAGCGCAATCCGGCCGGTCCTAGCTGTCAACGATCTTGCCTCTGGCTGGAGCAAAAGGTGCCTTAAACGGAGAAGGAAGTGAGTAATCTCCAGGGAGGAACCCGGTGAGAGTACTCCGAAGTTCAAGTTAGTATTTCCTCAAAGGCAAGATAAAAAACCAGATGGCGCAAAGTTATCACATACCTCCTTCTTGGGGGGAAGAGAGCCTTTTATAACCACTTCACGCACTCACTCCCAACCTCCTGTCAGGTCGGGTATCATTACCTTTGCACTTCTGACAGTTCGGGTGTCATCACCTTTGCTGGGGTAGGCAACCGCCACTGCTCTCTTTGTCGGAGCCGTCTCTGTGACTGGGGGTGGCAGTGGTAGGTGGCCGTTGAAGTGCGGCTATCAAGCGTCAGATCCTAAGTCAGTCAGGTGCGCCATCTCAGGATACG